ATCACGTCGAAATTAGTGTTGTTTTAAAATGGAAGCTGTACGTGTTCAATGAAGTTTTAAATTGTGTAAATAGGAAACGTTGTTTCTAATTACTTATTATAATCATTACGTATCTTTTCTCTACATGTATATGTAAATAATAGTGAAGCAATGCGACAAGGGGTAAAAGTACAAAGTGTCTTGTAAGTAACTCCTGAAGATGACGTAGATCACGTCGAAATTAGTGTTGTTTTAAAATGGAAGCTGTACGTGTTCAATGAAGTTTTAAATTGTGTAAATAGGAAACGTTGTTTCTAATTACTTATTATAATCATTACGTATCTTTTCTTAACCCCATCATCTTTAATAAATATATCTCTTCTCCTGGTGGCTCAAAGGTGTGTCAGTGGGCTTATAACACTAAAAATTGGGTTTCGTTACCTGCGTTGGGCAAAGCACAGATAGTCTATTTTGTAGTTTGTGTTTTATGGCAAATAAACTCGATAGCTTTATTGTTTCTCCAGTGTTTGTTTTTAGAAAAATACATTTAAATTTATTCAACTTGGAGTCTGGAACTCGTTAAACAAGAGGTATACATTCAACTTCCTTAACTATACTCGCTGCTTTCACTAATTGATTGGTGTAGCATCCCGCCCCACTTCCTTTCAGTAGCACAGCAGTAAGTTTTAGGCTTATAACGCTAAAAACCAAGTTTCGATACCCGTGGTGGGCAGAGCTCCGACAGTCAATTGTGTAGCTTTGCGTTTAACAAAAAACAAAATAACTGGCGTAATCAGCACTTTAGTTTCCGAGAAACAAGACGGGCAAATGTATTTTTAGAACGCAAAGTCTCGTGGAACTGTTGAAAGTGGTATTTCTTTATTACTTCAAAACAGTCTGAATACGAAAAGGTGTAAAAGGCTGATACGGGTGGATGAAAACAAGACGGGATAATTTCAGATTTTCCTGTGTTAGATTGCATTTAAAGGTATGGTCTGTTTTTCACTTACTCTTAAAAATATAAATATGAACTTATACAAATTAAAATCCTAAATAGATACTGTATGTTGAATATGAGTTTTGCAATAAAAATACAATTATATCTTTTCTTAAATGTTGGAAGTTTGAAACTACCGTAACGAAAATGAGTCAGTAAAATTATTTTTGTCATACATAGAAAAGAACTGAAAAACAAAATTTACTTAAGTAATATTTTTCTTGTACAGTGAATTTAATATTATATTGCAAACTATTTAAACATATAAAATAAAAACCATTGAAAGCAAGATTTAAATTTTCAGAAACTACTAAATGTTATCAGTATTCCTAAAATATAATATATATAAATTACAATTTTTAAAAATTATGCTAATCCTGTTCATGCTAAGAATAAAAAAATATATTTTTATAAATTCAGAGAACAGCGGTCGTTAATCCTTTCTCTAGCCTTGTCATAGCATTTTGTCATTAAACACAAAATATGAGCGTTAAATAGGAAATTACAGAACTTTTGCAAACATTTATTCAGTTCGTGATCTTTAATTTCCCCTCCACCCAAACTATCAATACAAAATACATCTTCTTTGACGTGGAGGTTTTGTTTGTTTGTAATTAAACACAAAGCTAGACAATGGGCTAACTGTGCTCTGCCCACCACGGGTATCGAAATTCGGTTTCTAGCGTTGGAAGTCCGCAGACATACCAATGGGGAGGCTTGACTTGTAGGATCTGATTGTAGGGTTTTAAACTTTGTGTTGATGAACAGCTCGTTAATACTTTAGAATATTTAAGAATAAAAGTCTATATAACCATATATTTTATCAGGTTTTGATATAAGTATACTTATACTCCTAAGAATACATAGAAAGGATAAATTTAGATATTGCATTTAGAATGTTATAAAATGTTCTCTCATCTAGGGTTAAATAAGCAAATGCCTTAATTGTTGTTATAATAATTCACGCCTTATGAAGTAAAAAAATACATTGTCAAGCTGCTAAACAGTTACCAACATTTTATAACGGGGACTTTTAATTTTCCCTACAATATCGGATAATTGTTAATAAAATATATTAATCACATTATTCGGTTCATCCCAAAACGGGATCTAAATCGCGTAAAAATTTAACGTCTTAAATTTACCTACCATAATTTCAATTTGAATGTTATTGTTAAGTTGTTATTTTTTATGTGTCTTCCAGAATAGGAATCTTCTTCATAAAACGTTTGTAACTCTTTCGAAAATATGGGCCAATTTATTCAGTAAAATAGTTTTATTCTAAATGTCAACATTAAGAAATCTTGAGTTTGATGACATTAGTTACGACTCTGTAAGTTATAATTAAATTGTTTTATATTTTTCTATGTATTTCGAAGACTATTCGCGAATGAGTTGTTTTTGTAATCTTAATTATTTTCAAAAGTTCTAAAACAGGTTGTCAAATGGTAATATACCATAGCTATTGATGTACACACACACACATACATACATACATACATACATATATATATATATATATATATATATATATAT